TGCTCTTACGTCTAATAATTATCATATGCTTGAATGGTGCAGCTATGTCCACGAAGGACGATTTTCACTTGAAATTATATTATGATCTATAATCCCAAGTGGAAAATTGACGTCAAAGCTGCCTGATGTCAAGCTTTGGCGATAGCGGAAATCGAACCATCGAACCCGGGACCATTTAAACCGATTTCGCCACGCCGGGCCCTAGTCTTTTCTCCTGTAGAGAAAAGAGTGATGATTGATGATATTGTTAATATTGGTGATGATATTGTTTTAAAAAACTATAGGAAAATTTTATTGCATATTGTTAAAATTCCATCATATTCTAACATAACGAGTTGTTCTATTTAACTAATTATACTTCACTTTATGAAAAACTTTTAAGATACAAAAATTTAACATTTTCACATTCCTCATTTATCGCCGATTAAAATATTATTTAAAAAACCGGAACAATTATAAAAACAAAATAAATATTAAAAACTTGTATTATACGCGAGCCTCACTCGAATTTGGTAAACTAAATTATTATTAATTATTGCCTTACAATTATGAAAGTGATGTTCATTTTAGCATAGTGCACGAAGAAAACTGCATAATTCAAATCTACTTAGTTTCAATTTCCATCAGACCTCGAAGGTTACTATTTCAATGAAATCTTCGATAAGCGCTGACAATATAAAATGCATATAGATTGATTTTCAAGAACATATTTCCTATAACAGTTTAATCAAATATTTAATCAAATGCACTTGTGCATTGCTGGCTCTAGTAGAAAACAAATATGAACCAAATAAGAAAGAAGAATGTAGGTTGTCTCCAGTAAGTTATCTCATTGAGTTTTTGAACCTATCTATTATTTGCATTGAACTTACATAATGTAATAATATATTTATCATGAGATACCTAAATCACGACGAGGAAATTGAGATATCTTTCCACTCCCATCTGAGTATACAAAATACAAGATGTGTATGATGCACTTGCCGTACTCAGTAGCGGATCATGAAATAATGCCCGATTGCAGATTGAATAGCACTTATCATTATGGCACAAGATGATGATGATGTTCACAGTTATAGAGTTATTTATTTCGCTATTATATTATTATATTTGAAGAATATGTTTGATTGATCATTGATACAAAAATGAGCGGATGGAACAAAGCAGAATGCAGTAAAACAATATTTTGTTAAATCGATTTTTAAACAGGTTGTCTTGGAAGATATATACTATAGATATATTATATATTTATAGATAATAAAATCCAGGATGAATTTGAAAAAGTTACATTACAATTTAAAACATTCGTAATTAAACTATGCACGATATTCTATTTTTAGGCATACTTTTTTCGTAAAGTAATACAAATAACTTAAATTTAGTTTTTGTGAGAAGAAATTCAATATATCCTATTGAGAATTTTCTTTCAATTTCGATTTTGGTTTTTCCAGTTAGCACAAAGAGAGATTTAAGAATAATGTATGAAGTATTCTAAAACAACTTGTAAATTTACTAAAACTAGTAATTATTTCACTATTGAAATATTAAATATGTTAAAAAATATGTTAAAAAAATTATAAACAATTGTACTGTATTGCCAAAGTTGCAAGTCAGTAATTTACTGAAAAATTCTGCTTTAATATATAATACCATGAAGCATGTTAGCACATAAATCGAATAAAAATCTATGTTTTAAATGGTATTCAAGATTTAATCCTGAATGATATAATTATAATTATTATAATATTAAGGGCGCCCAATGGCCATTGGGAGGCAAAAAATTGAATAAATTCGAATTTTAACTCATCAGCTGCCAATGCTCCAATGTATATTAATGAAATGGACAAACTAAACAGTCTGAAATATCAATGCGTTTTGTTTGTACAAATGCGTTCGCTGTTAACTGCATACGATTGTTTACAAGGAAACTTATTCAAATATTGGCCGCAGTAGGTCACTGTAACAAACACGTGCGACGATACATCATTCTTTTGTCACGGCGACGTTTACAGTAATTTTCTCTACACATTTTGCTGTGAAAATATGTCATTTAAGAAGAATTAAGACAGACATATGATGTCGGTGAAGAACCCGGTGCAATGCTGTAAAATAGAGCATCGTGAGTCGTATATATGTGATATAAAAATAGTGTTTTTTTCATGAATTTTGTTTTTTTTTATATATGTGATATAAAAATAGTGTTTTTTTCATGAATTTTGTTTTTTTTTATGTATTAAGTTCCCTAGATAAATTTTTGTCTACTAGGTATTATATATAACACATGTTAATAATAATAAGAAATAATAATAGTAATAAAATAAAAAAGAAAAGAAATACAAAAAAAAACGATAAGAAAAAACAAACAATCAAATAAAACATAAAAAGAATAGTAATTATGTTTAACTGGGCTAGATAAGGACTTGTGGCAACTTTCTTTTCAATCTGGTGGGCTGACTATCCAGGTAAACTCTGCTGGCCAATTCGTTGAGATGTACGTCAATCCTATTTTTATATTTAGAAGCAACCACTAAAATTTGCTACTCTATTGTGAGCAAGCCTGTGTCTTGATGGATAATCCATAAAGGGGTGTAGCGAGGAGCGTTTAATATTTGCCTCAGGATTTTGTTTTGAGCACGTTGGATGATGTTCAGATTGCTTTTTTTTGCTGTACCCCAAAGTTGGAGACCGTAGGTCCATATGGGCTTGAGTACCACCTTGTATATTAACAGTTTATTGTAAACTGATAGTTCAGAATTTTTGTTTAGTAGCCAGTAGAATTTTTTAAAGGTTTGATCTAATTGCTGTTTTTTATTAATTATATGTTGTTTTCAATTCAATTTCCTATCCAGGTGGATGCCAAGGTTTTTCACCGACTCTTTATTTTTTCACCGACATTTTATCTAACTTATTGATAGAATGAGTTTCAACTTTAGTGCCCGCTCGTAGATTAGGTATTACAACTACGGAAGTTTAGTCAAGACACCAGATTCGACATCCGCCTCTGGTAGCCTGATATCAGGCAGTAGTGACTTTGGTTTTTACATCAATACAAAAATCATTATTACAGAAATTGTAAAATTGAAAATTTATCACATAGACAAAGGATGACGGTTTAGGTTGCCATCTATAAAACCGGCGTAGTTATATTTAAGTCACACCAGCATAGGAGATCTTAGGATATCAGGACCCAAGTTCTGATCGCTATTCAAATAATAAATAAAAAAGACTACTAACATGAAATACTATAGTTTTATAGTCATAACACTATTTGACACTGAATAACGCATTTCTATGACAAATAAATATGACTATTACGAAATGTTATGTATATTTACTGTGTGTTGAAATGTTTTCATTCTAAGGTCAGAACGTGCGTGACAATAGGCCCTACATATATTTGGATAGCTTCGTGTACGATTTCACATAACGAAATCCAATAATGTGGAATGAAATATGTTTTCAAAACCTTACTCGATACTAGTAGAATCGATCATTGCTAACATTGCAATTGGAAATAATCGAGTATGAAAATTAAGAATCATAGGCATTAATTATAGAATACCCTAGCCTTTTCACTTTTCTTACAATAATTGAATGGAATATTTCTCACAATGCTATAGTGCAACAATTAAATTTTTCAGTTATTTTAAATTTATTCTACTGTAGTTTAATTATAGATTATCATTTTAATTTTTATGGAATTTAGAAAAAATAAAGCATTGCTAAATATTGGCACGAAAAAATAAATACACTTTCAAATTTATTTCATTTGCTTTTCATCTCAGTATTTTGATTCATTATTAATTAAAAAATTTAGGAACACTAAATTAAGTGCCATTACTTCAAATAATTTGTGTATGCAATTTGATGACACTAAATAAGAACATACAAAAAATTCGCTTGAATAACAAACAATTTATGGAAATTTTATGCATTTATGCATATTAAATGTTCTATAAATAACTACCATATTTATCGTAAAGTAAATATGACTATGAATATTTAGTTACTGTAATTTGCGCGTGTTTGACCCTTACGAAAAATAATTTGAACCAATTTGTTTTCTGATACTCATATTTCTATGCATTTATGTATAAAAGAAGTATACAATATGTACCCCAATTAATGAAAATGGTCAGAAGACCACAAGTCAATTTAAGTCAAGTTTATCAAATTCAACTGGTGACCCCTACAATAATCTAAATAAATAAAAAGTGCAAGAAACAATCATAATCTTAATCAAAGAAAGAAATCAAAGCTGCAATGCACAATGCTAAATATATTTTCAGCTATTGCTTACTAATATATAATTAGCAAAATAGAAATTAAACCGTCAGGGAGTAAAATAAATCAAAATCCGAACTTTAATTGTGTCAATATAAATACAATTTTAAATTTTATAATTATGAGTACATAATTTGGGTTCCGATAAACCAATATCAGATTAATAGAATTGAATCTGTCTAGAAAAAAATTGTCAATCACATCAGATTCTGCAAGAACAATTTTCTGATGAGTCGGTTCCAAACATACAATTATCTTGACAATACTTCTCTCAATGTTAAAAGAAAATATCTCACCTTCTGCTATGAATCAAGAATTGTGAAATGTGATTTGGATGTGTCTGAACTTTTGGAACGTTTCAAATTTACTGTGCCAAATGTTAAATTACGGAATGATAGAATCGTGGACATACCTGTAGTTAAAACTAAATAATAGTCAAATGATTGCTATAAGTAGTGAATTATAATTTTTATTGAATGTTTTATATTAGTTATTCTTTATTTTGTATAATTGTAGTTTATTCCAAGTGTTATGTATATATTTTAAAAACAGTTTATGAACTTTTAAATCCTTTAATTTTCTAATCGATATATTCTTTCTTTGAAATGTAATTATATTGAATCAATGCCAGTGGCGTTAAATAAATAAATAAATGAATAAGTAATCCAGAAATGGTAACTCTAACGATAAATCTATAACAGTAGTTTATTTTTCAGATGGCTAGCATCAACACAATTTTCTCCGACCGATGCGAGAAGAGCTTTTCCGTGTTTCGATCGGCCTGCCTTAAAAGCAACCTTCGAGATATCCATGGAGCGACCGAACGAACTTAGAACCATCTCAAATATGCCGATGGACAGATCAGAACCGTCGTAATTATTTATTTATTGACATTTATTTTAAATTGTTGTAGTTGCTCAATTGAATCATCGTTATGTTTTTTATAGTGATTCAAAACCTGGACACACAATCGATTACTTCCCAGAAACAATTAAGATGTCTACATACTTAGTAGCATTTATTGTTTCTGATCTTATGGGCAGCGAAACTTTAATAGTACCGATCCCAGGCACAGGAAGTATGTTATTATATTAAAATTACTATATAATATTTAAATAAAGTTATAAATATGTTAACGTATTTCGGTATTATAAATAATAGTTTGAAAATTGATGGATAAAATATGCTATTTCCACAGAATCATTCCCATTGAGAGCTTGGTCACGTCCTGAAGTGCTAGATCAGACAGAATATGCTAGAAATCTTTCAGTTTCCTTGTTAGAGTATTACCAGGGTTACTTTGGAATTGATTTTCCTATGCCGAAAATTGATATCGTTGCTGTTCCTGAATTCGGTTTCAATGCTATGGAAAATTGGGGTCTAATAACATTCAGGTAAACGAATTCAACAATTGATAGAGATCAGGAAATAGAGTTGATTTTATTAATTATTATTCAGTATTGTGTTTATGATAATACTTATATAATTTTATATTCTTTTTTAGGGAGTCTGCAATGTTGATAGCTGATAAAATTACCTCAGAAAGTCGCAAAGAAACTGTCGCTACAGTAATTAGCCACGAACTTGCCCATCAGTGGTTTGGCAATCTGGTCACACCCGCCTGGTGGAACGATCTTTGGCTTAAGGAAGGATTTGCAACCTACGTCGAATTTATGGGCGTCGATTATGTGAGTTAAACTTAATTATTCAATAATGTTCGTAATAACTTGCACTCTGAATTAACATTGTTCAACTCGACTAATTCATTTTTTGACATAGATAGAAGAAATATTCAGATTAGCAAAAGTGTCCTTCATAAAAGCGATTGTGAGAAAAATTACGGATGCTTATTGTTCAAAATCTTCTGCGATTTTATAAAAGTTGATAAAACAGCCCAAGTAATATTGATATTTGTCTGCCTTAATTCATAATTAACCCAAAAACTGTTTTCGTTTTTCGGTTAACATAACTGGAAGAATTATATTGGTTATTTTAATAACTCATTCAGTACCTCCAATTTATTTTAATTTATAAAAATTGTACAAAACATGTTTTTTGTCGTAGGCTCACCCCACATGGCGAATGACCGATAAGTTTTTGGTTAATGAAATCCAAGAGTGCATGAACGATGATGCCAGTAAATCTTCGCACCCGCTTTCTGTTCCAGTTTCCACAGATGCCGAAATTAGAAGAATATTTGATCCCATTTCTTATACTAAAGGTAATACATATGGTTTGATTTGTTTTATGATTAGTTTTTATCTTTTATAAGGTAGGTGATTTTAATATAATTAATTATAAGGTGCTTCCATAATTCGTATGATGGAACATTTTCTTGGTGCAAACGTTTTTAAATCTGGCCTGAAAAGATATTTGAATGCCCATCTTCATGCTAATGCCAGACAAGATGAATTATTTGCTGATTTAACAGCGGAAGCTTTGCAGAGTTCTGAACAGGTAAAATTATTATGAAAAGAAGCGAATTTACGTAACGATATGAAGTAAACTTTTTAATAAAGTTAATTATTTTATTCGTCATAATTTTGCAGATTTTACCTGCAAACGTAACTGTAAAAGATATTATGGATACTTGGACTTTACAAGCAGGATTTCCAGTTTTAGATGTTAAAAGGCATGGAAAGGAAGTAACATTCACACAGGTGATAAAAAAATTCTATTTGTCTATTTAATTATATTAAAAAAAATAATCTAAAATTAGTCTATTGACCGATTATTAATAAATAAATATATAATTTGTATTACAAATGTGTATACTTCGAGTTTAAAGCTAATAATGGATATCACCAGATCAAAACATTAATGAATTCTTCAAGTGATTGAAATTCAAACTTTTAGAGTAAATTCATTCTACCTTCAAATGATTCATCCGACGGTTCTCGCTGGTGGCTTCCCATCAGTTTAACATCAGCATCTGATCTCAATGCCACAACTAAACCTGTACTATGGTTGTCTCCAAAATCGGATTCCTTGAGCTTTACTCCGCCGAAAGCTAACGAAAATGATTATATTCTTGCTAATCTAAATCAAACAGGTAACTAATTTTTAAAACTACATGAATCTATTAAATGAGTACATACAGTACATATAATTTGTAAAAGTTATTTTATTTACAAGCACAATTATCATGAGTCTAATCAAATGGATAATATTTGAACCTATTTTTTAAAGTGTTTTATGAAATTTCAATACTTAAGTTATTCATAATAAACAAAAACAGTACAATATGAAAGATGAATCACAAAAACTTATCTTTCTAAGGGTTCTATCGGGTTAACTATGACAATGAAAACTGGAACCTCCTCATTGAAGCCTACTATGAACTGCCTGATTTAACTAGAGCGCAATTACTGGACGATTCATTTGCTTTAGCAAGAGCTCATCTTTTGGAATATGAAATTCCGCTTATATTTGCATCCAGATTGTCTCATGATATGAGTCCAGTAGCATGGCAATCAGCTTCTAGGCCTATTTTGCATTTAAACAGGATGATGAGTAGAGAGCCAGCTTATGGAGCATTCAGAGTAAGAATTTGTCTATTTTATGAGAATTTTCACAAATAGTTATAATAAACTAAAATATTATAAGATTTACACTTATATATATATATATATATATATATATAAATATATATGTGTGTGTGTGTGTGTTAAAGATTATCTATGATCAACTGTTAATAGTTAAGAACAGTTGTAACTCAGTATGATTATTTTAAAGTATAATAAATACTACTGCGATTAATAGTCATAATGGAAACTGAAAATAATTTCAGATTATAATAACTCTTGCTTTGTTTCAGACATTCATGCGTGCTGCAGTCAATGGTATTTATCGTCAATTAGATTTTGAAGAAAAACCAGATGATGATCATTTGACAAAATTGCATCGTCCTCTGATGATTAATTTAGCATGCGCACTAGACCATCCAGACTGTCTCAATAGAGCGCAATATATGATGAGATTATGGATGAGGGATGAAGAACACAATCCGTATGTTTAAAGCATAATCCTATATTATCTTATAATAATTATCAATGCATATTCCCACTTATCTCTTCTTTATTTACTTCCTGGATTTTTACTTTTAAATTTTGTATATATATATATATATATATATATTTATCGTTGAATTAAAAAAGGTTAAAATCGAAAATATCTTTATTCTATTAAACGTTTCAACACTTAATGTGTGTCATCATTCAGTAATCAAACCAGGAAAACACAAAAAATATAAAATCTATTAAACACTAAATTAATAGTAATTAATAAAGAGAGAAAATTAAAAAAGCACATAAGTAATGCCCCAATATTATGCGAGTTCATCACTCGACGGCGTACATAGCAAAAAAAAAAAATATAAATAAATATATATATATATATATATATATATATATATATATTTATATATAATAAAAAGTAATATCTTGTTTTTGCAGAATTTCACCAGATGTGAGGTTACCTGTATACTGTGCTGGAATCAAGCAAGGCAATGTGGAGGAATGGGATTTTGCTTTCAAAAAATTCAAAGCATCAAATGTTCCGTCAGAGAAAATGACTTTACTCAGTGCTATGGGATGCTCAAGAGATCCTTGGATTCTTGCAAGGTAATAAAAATAAAATGATGTGTTAGCTCGGTATTAGCCATAAATTTTAATACAAATTCAGCATTTAATAATTAAATTTATTAGTAAAATTTGCAAACACTACTATTATATTTTTGAAAGTAATAAATCTCTCTACTTTTTAATTTAGGTACTTGGAAATGACATTGGAACCCAATTCACCATTTAGCAAACAAGATGGTGCTTTAATTTTTGAAGTTGTTGCTGGAAATAAGCATGGGTTTGATTTGGCAACCTCACATCTTATTGATAACTTTAAAAAAATCTATGAGTAGTAAGTATCGACTTCATGACAAATAAATGATTTCCATTCATTTCACCACATTATATCATTATATCAGAAGTTCTCTTGATTGCATTCTAAATAATAATCATCTTAATATGGTTGTGATCACATACATTTAGAATGAGTGTGTTAATAATATTAATTTTTATTTTAATGATTGTCCTAGATGAATTCGTGTGAATAACAATTATTCATCCGTTTGTTTTATTTTATTAAAATTGCAGTGTAATTAATAAATAACATTTGATTTTATTATGCCTAAGTACATAATGTGTTGGATGTGAATAATATTTATATGAAATAGTATATGCAATCAAAGTTGCAGTGCTACCATAGTAATGTTGTACGTATTGTCATTGCAGTTATGGAGAAGGGTTCTCAACGGTCAAGAAAATGATCCACGCTTTAGCCTTATACATGAACAAAGATTCTGACAAAAAGAAGGTAAATTGAATTTAATCATGGTCTTTGACACTTATTATAGTCTTTTATTTAGAGTCAAAATATTAGTAAAGAAAAGTTAATATATTTCCTAGTGCCTTTACAGTGACATCATAACAAAACTTTAGTAAAGAACACTTAGTTCATCACAGACTGCAAAATTATTTTGATTTTACACTTTAATTCGATAGTAGAATAAAGATTTTGTTTGTTGATAGTTGGCTGCATTTGCAAAAGAACTGGATTTGTTGGGAATTGAATCGGCAAAACGGCATCTACAAACGGCAACGGAGGATATAATGAATAATATATATTGGCGGTCACATGGATATTACAATTTAGAAAAATGGGTTAAAGAATTTAATGCTAAATTTCATATTGTATAGAATAGAACACCACATTAGCAAATTCACGAATATTTGAGTTGTGGACAAACTATTAAGAAAATAATGATTAATTATTTTTATCAAGATTCTTTAATTTGATACTAAAATGTTTTGCTCCACAAAATGACTAAATATACTTTAAAAAACAACTGACTAGAATATATTGAAATTTACATTCGGATATATTTAAATACTTACTAGACCACAAAAATATTTGTCAAAGTTTGTCAAAAATATTTTGTATATATTTTCTTGAATATCGACAGTGATAACGCTGGATTTGTGCTGCCTGGTAGATTTTTTCTTGAAAAGGTGATATTACTCCTATGATTTGTATTTATATGAAAGTGCTTTATATTATTTTAATGATTATAAATAATAGTATGTATGGGATATTATATAATTGTGTATATCGATATAATTGTTGTCCTCAATAAAAAATATTTTTAATTTTGTTATATTCACACTTCATCCATAGGAGACGTGATCTATACTTAAAAGTAATTATATATGATAACTGAAAAGTGTTCAAAGTGACTCAGAATATCTCGATCAATTTTCTTAGTGAAAACTGTTTTCTTATGACAGACAATGAGAGTACAAACACTCCATCAAATTTTACATATATCATACTTTTGTTTCATTCATTATTAATTAAATAAATATAAATAAGAAGCAAAAATGTAGTGTTTCGTGTTGATTTCATAAGAGTTTTGCAACAAATTCGTTCGTTTTTTGCTTCAGAGATTGATGCTTAGCTATTCTGGTCAAATTCTGACCAAAGTTTTAATCAAACAAACTGATATGTTTATTTGAGAAAACAGAGGCAAATTACTTTTAGAAAATACCTAATTTCCCGAAAAATTGATGGTTCTTTATTGGCACTGTTGGTACTTTGAAAAAGATTTTGTTGAACTTGAAAACTATATTACCAGTTGTAAAGATCATTTAAATAATAATGAACAATTTGTGCTGAGCCTTGGTTGAACAAGTGTCTTTATAATAATAATAATAAATTCTCATATCATAAATGACCGATTTAAAGCTGAAGTGTTTCTTTCTATGAAAATGTGATTTATGTAAGTAACAACGAAGTGTATTCACGATATTTTGGTATATGTATTCAAAAATATTTGCGACAGATATCGCATCCGTCATTCGTATGCATTTTCTATAGCACATACTCTAAAATATAGAATGCTGGTGCCTAAGCTAGCTGTCCATCGACGCTTTCCTTCTTTTCTTTTTTTTCTTTTTAGGAAAATTTTCCGTTCTTTTTTTGTCGCACATTTATGCATTTATGACAATATTAGAATTTAATGTATTTATGATGATTATGACATCATTTTATATTAATTTATACCTATTATTGTTTACAAAACCACGATGAGGTATACTATACCTACGGGCAAATATCCAAACAATGTCAAAAAAAAGAATGCAATGTTTTCCAAAATTAAAAAAACAAAGCGGCAAAAACTTAGTCAAAAAATCCCTGAATATTTTATAATAGTCCATGATTTGAACTTGATATTTAATATATCAATTAGGTATATCCATAGAATATTATTTATTCTTATACAGGTGCTTATACTTATAAGAATGCCTTAAAAGGAACCATAAATCGTGGGTTTCCCTTATAGTAAAGGAAAAATATAATCAATAACTAATGGGCAAAGTCTTTTTGATGAAAAAGACGAAATTATCCTGTTTTGATGAGCTTTCAGGGCGTGTGTACCACTGCAAAACAACGAAATTCTTTCGTAATTTTGGCAAATAAATGGATTTGTTTTCGCAATTTTTGAAATATTTTAACTCATTCCAAAAGATTTTAAAACGCTGATTTCAAAAATGCTATCCGTTTTTGGATAAATCCACATACACCCCGCGAAAAATCGAAATCTTTGGTTGCAAAGTCGTTTTTTTTTAAAAAAATCAAGTTTTTTTCGCGATTTTCGAAATGTTTTGATAGATTTGGAGTCGATGAATTTGAAAATGTTATCCGTTTTTAGATAAATCTGCATACCTCTGCGAAAAATGGAAATTTTTGGTTGCAAAATCAAAATTTTACTAATGAAATAAACATTTTTTTTCGCGATTTTTAAAATATTTTGACCGATTCTGATAGATTTCGAGGCGCTGATTCCGAATATGAAATCGGTTTTTGGAAAAAAAAATCCTTCCACCCCTACGACCAACTTGAAGTTTGAAAAATTGACAACTTTGAAGCTGATTTGAACTATGAAGCTGATGATAAATTTGTAATTTTTTTGGTTTGGTATAAAGATTGTACCTTAGTCTACACAATTCATTCATAAAAATTATCAATTTCATTCATTAAGGGTCTTAAAATTGCATTTGAAAGTCACGATTTTGGCCAATTTTGGCTGCCCCTGAAAAACCGGTTTTGTATGGGAAAAATAGTAAAAGTTTTAAATTACACCAAAGTAGGTTTGGTTTACTGCTAACCAGGCGTAAATATGAATTTATTATAAATTATCCCTCCTACTATATATATATATATATATATATATATATATATATATATATATATATATATATATATATATATATATATACATATATTTATATATCATATATAATATATATATTATGTCGATTTTTGTAATACTGACACTCAATAAATTTAATTATTTATCTATATATCTTATTCATTTACAAAGTAAGAAAAATTATTGAATTCATATTTTTTTCAGGTAAATTAAGGATTCGATCTGACAAACTCGAATTGCTATTCGGCCTAAACCGTATTTTTACGACCTCGGCCATTTGCTCACACGAAATTAGATGTTTTAGGAAACTTATAGTTTTCATTATCAAAATAAGACTTTATATTTTTACAAATAGCATGGAGTTCTGTATAACTAATTGGCCGAGATCGTTAAGTTGCCACTACGGTTGCTCATTGTTTCTCGGTTCGAATCCTCAAGTTGCTTGAAAAATTCGAATGTATAGTTTTTCATAAATATCAAATATTAGTTCAAAATATTAAATTCAGGTGTCGCATTTCGACCTTGACACTTAGAATATTTCTGAAAAACAAAAAACTTAAGTTTCGCACTTGACTGTAAGAGAGATACATAAAAAAAAAAAAAAGGGGAAGCACGGGGTAAAGAGAGGGGTAGAGGCATATGATGAATAAGAGAGATGTGTATGATACATATTCTTTATTTAAATTCAATATTAATATAATATGAGAATGAAAATAACTTCTATCATCAATAACTTAAATAGCCGAGTGGTTTAAGGGACCGCATACTCGGTGAAATAACTCTGGAGGCACAAGGTGAGCAGGATCGAATCCAACTGAAGGCGACGACAAGGAACTCCAAAGCAGAAAAAGTAGAGCAGTGCTGGTGGCTGGCTGTTGGCGAGCGCAAAGGGTCCTGAAACGAACACACCAAGTGATGGTCAACCAGAGGTCCATGATGCGAGAGGTTACACGCAGGGAGACACATTGCGGAAGATGCATGCCGAACCCAAAAATCTACCTAAAAACCACAACATGTGAAAAAAAATAACACCAAAAAAGGAAAAAATGTGAAAAAAAGCGAAAAAAAAAGGAAAAAAAAGGGAGGGAGAGGAGGAGGAGGAAGGAAGAGGTGGAGAGCCTTAAAAAAAACCTCTTAAGTCCCAGATCAATTTTTCTCTTTTCTGTTCAGCGTTGAAACTTTTTATTTTTTTTAGTGTTCCCTCACACCAATTCCCAAACACACACTCGAATGAAATGAAGTCCACGTTGAAATTTTCACAACGAGAAAAAATTACTGGGACTTAGTTAAAATATTTAACTTTGCCCCAATAAATTTTCTCGTTGTGAAATATTCAATGTGAGCCTCATTCATTCGAATGTTGGCTTTGGGATAATACAGCATGCATAAATAACTCGTCTGTCTTAATTGAAAAGGTTTCAGAAAATTTGGACTTAGAAAAAAAAATTATTCGAAAGAATTATAATCAGAAAATTTGGACTTAGAAAAAAAAAATTATTCGAGAGAATTATTTAATTAATCGATGAAATGAAATGATATTAATCGAATCAAAATTGTTTTCACGACTTGATAAAAAATGTGAAACCTTTACAATTAATCGAGACAAAAACAAATTTAGTTGACTTGAATAATATACAAATTATTAGAAAAAGCCATAAAAGAAATTCAATAAAACATGTAAAATGAAATAATAAAAATGTTTGAAATCTTGAACATTAAAACTTCAAAACTGTTTAAAGCTGATTGTTATCGTTTAGAAATTGAGTTAAATAATTTTTACAACTTGAATCGAATAATAAACTTGTTAACAAAATTATATTCTGTCTAATCATTCAAGTCAACTCGTTGAAACTTTGATTGCAAGTCTTGATCAAAATTGTTTTTAATAATAAAAGAATAAAAATCTATCATTTAGCCATGCAGCGATATAATTGAATAAATTTAAAATAAAACTACAGTCAAAAACTTTTAAAAGCTGTATTTAATTAACAATTTGGTAAGTCGTATTAAATATTTGAAATAATTTGATCAAAACCAACAATCGAGTTATCCATAAATAAGAATATACATGCAGTCAATATCGCTACAGGGAAAACACATGATTCTCGATACTGGAAATGTAATTTAAAAAATTGTTTCCGAAGATTAATGAACAAGAGGAATCACAAAAAAAAAGAGATTTTTGTACCAAAGTAAATTTGTAATTTGTAATAAAGTACCATCAATTTAGGAGTTACCTAAGGAAGGATGCTGGGGCCCTTCAACAAATAAGTAGTCGATGCAAACAAAAACTGTATTGGTTAACTAATAATTTGGTAACAAAACTTTAATATATAAGAATTTTGAATTCTACACAAAATCAGCTCATAGTGTTGTTATAGAACAAAAGAATTTCTGATAGACTATTCATGGAATTGTAATAATATAAATCACTTTCAATGTCTTTGATACATAAGAGAAATATAAACTTTTTTCTTTTATATATGTTTAAAACAAGTATAAAATGCACTTTTATAAATTAAAAAAAAAAACTGAATCAACATGTTTTCCCCATAACAAATTAAATATAAACATAGTCTTCTATACATATGTCTGCCAAATTTATTTAAAATCTTTTATTAGCATAATAGTTGTAGTTGAATGAACAAATAATGTATTGTATTTTAGGCATTAAAAATTAATAAAGTATATCTTATTAAAGAAAATGATATTGACTCAAATATTATAATATAAACAATATTTTCAGCAGATATATGTATACAACTATATTAATAATGCACGAGCCAGAAAATATTCCACTAAAATAGATACAGACTGCTTTATAAATGATATCGGATAAGAAAGGGACAAGTTCTTAAAGCATCTTCAAATTAATTTCAATAATATGAAAAACGAGCATAAAATATATTATTATTGAGAAATATTATTATTGCATGC